GGAAAGATGTAGTATCAGTGTGCTAGTTTTATTGAAGTCCTTCGGGTCTTATATTTCATGTAACGTTGTTTCAAATTAGGCAGGTATGCGTATTTTATTTTGTATTTCACAATTTTTAACAACACGTGTATTTTATAATCTATGATAAACTTTTATTTTTGCTTTTACAGGCTGTAATTAGTTGGAAAGTATAACTGTTATCTATAATTAACAGAATTCCTAATGTGTTTAAATCAATCACTTTTAATTTAATTGACGAACTGCTTCTTTCTATTTTTTTTTATTGTAAATCAAACATGAAATAACATCAGTGTTTATTGCCGTTAGTTTGAACACACGTTATTTCATTTATGCTACTCGGCTCCTATTTGTAGTAGCTTGATTATTTTATATCTTTTAAGCATTCTCGATAAATTTTAATGGTATTATCTAATACGAACTCTTTAGTATAAAATATAAGTACTAATAGATGTGTACTTATCTATGGATTTGCCACGCATTTAGTCGATGTCAATAAACTTTGTTCTTATTTAATTAATTATCTGTTTGTTCCGTATCGTACATTAGATCATTGTTTCTTATCACACGAGATAATTAATTACCGGCCGTTTTTGTTATTCATACATTCAATTCCCTATGTTTTTATGTCGCGCTGTGGTTTACATTGTTTTGATCAGACACAATACTGTTTGGATAAGTGGCTGCTATTAGGACCGTCAAGCGTGGGGCTAACACCCGGTTTCTGAAAGGCTTGTCAACGTTAAAATTAACTAATCTCCTGTTAAATCTCTTGTCAAGTCATCTGATTGGTTGTTGATAATTCAGTCAACCAATCAGATGACTTGATACGAGATTAAATTGATTTTAACATTGATCGGCCTTTCGGAAACCGGGTGTAAGTGTTGGAAATCAAAGAGTTTAATTAATATATATTTTATAGGATATTAGCTTTGGCCTGCGACGTGGAAAAGTGTCTTCCTGCAGTTTATTGGTATAAAAACTACTTATCCTATGTCCTTTCTCGAGTTCCAAACTATATCTGTACCTACTTGCAAAATTTCACAGTAATCGGTTCAGTAGTTTAGGCGTGACGACAGATAGACAGAGTTACTATACTATTAGTTTGGATTTGGATTTGGATGTCAGCAAACGACCAGGATCATCTGAAGGTATGATAGTAGGTACTGTCGGAACTGCAACACTAAAATAATTACGGTATAAGAATGTTGTCGGCCCTGTTTTGGTTGTTGGAGATTTTAGGATGGGGGATAGATGCGTCCACACGTCACAACAGTAAAATTATAATAATAATAACATATAATTGCGATAGCAGAACATATCATTACGTATTCGTAGAAATAAAGGCCAAAAGACTGTGTCAAAAGAATTCTTTTGACACACTGTCGTAGCTTCTTTCCTTAATACTCTTTTCTTTTGGTTCCATCCAAGAGAAAGACCCCTTCTTCATTTGTTTCGCTTTTGGAAATTTGAATGCGACCGAGTTCAAATTGGTTCAACTGTGTCCAAAGAGCAATGACCTTGTGACCTCGGTTCTCGTTGAGGGGAAAACAGGAGTTCTGATAATGTGAACGTTTATCCTTGTGTAAACTGCCACAAATTTTGTTGTGTGACATTCTATGAGTAGGTTAATGTGTGGAATTTAAATTAATCTGCATTGATTTATAGAGATCTCGGTGTGGTTTCAAGTATACCTACAGGTACGAAATTTACTACTTTTTCATTAAGAACCATAAAATTATAGGTACTTGTCAATCGTTTTTATAACTAAGCATCTCTTTCCCTTGCAATACAAAATGGCTGATGACAATTTTTTTGGTTTTAAGTTCGTAGGTATTTTAGATGTTTGTTTGATGATGTTTTATTTTGTAGTCGATGTATTATTTGAAAAATCTTGTGACGTCACGACACAGCACGTTTTATACTGAACGGTGACATTATAAAATAAAAGTATTGTTTTCTTAGACGATACAAATAAAAGAATATATGTTAAATATTGTTACATTACTAACGGACTAATTCGATTTTTGATTTTCAAACACTGTCATCTTCCTCATTATTGTGTGGCAACACACATTGACAACATTCAACATATGACGTCACATTTCCTACATCACACAAGTGAAATTTCGCTTAGAAACTTCCAACGTACCACTGTTTGATAGTAGCCCGCTAGGCTGATCCCTTCCCCAGAAGATCCTCCTTTTCCGATCTTAGGGAACTTTACCCATTGTTCCCTAAAATTGATATTTGTGAGATAGACTTTTTTGATCTTATCTTCAGTCAAGATATGTAGGTAATACCTAAACATGGATATAATCATTTTAAATTACCGATACGAATAATTAAACACGTTTGAAAAGCAAATAGGAAAATAACTACCCGGAGTTCATAGAGATCTTATGTCAATAGATTCTGACACAAATCACGTTTCACGGAAGATCCGATTGTCAATGGCATTGATCTGAGCGACCGTGCGCGTGAGTTGAATATTGATTCAACACCGACAGTATTCAATCTTTGGCGGGGCGTAAAATAAGTATGATTTGTTGACTCACTAACTGTATCGATATTAATTGTGCGCGTGCGCTGAATTTTTAAGATTAACTATTATACCCAAGTATTTTATTTGTCTTTAAATAATTGGTCAAATTCAAATTACCTATAAGCCAAATCATTTATTTCACAATTAGACTGTAGTCACTTTTGGTCACAAATTATAAAAAGTATCAGTTTGTCAGTCAGTCCTCATCTCATTGACGATATAACACGTTAATTGTTTTTTGTAACTGCATATTTGCACCCTCCGTGAGTACTTAGATATTTTGTGACGCGTCTAAATAATAATCAACCTTTGACATTATTTTATTCTTTTAGGTTAATTTAGTATAATTTCTGAATGTTGACAGGTTGAGAATCGCTGTTACTTGGCCCTGCGTCACATAACCATAGCAAGACCAATTTGCGATAATAATTTATTCTTGTAAATGTATGAAATTTTAATTAGCGTGTTTTCAATCTATGTAACTTGTAAAATAATTTGGAACTGTTTGTCATTACTACTACTAACCATAGTTAATAATATTCGCAGAGTAGATTTTTCCATATCTATCTGTTGGTTTCACGTTTCGCGGCTCAAAAACTATTGGTACTAAATCATCTCAAAAACTACTGGTAACTTCTTGGGTGTCTGTGGCTGGCGCCGATTGCTTGCCATCAGGTAATCCGTCTGCTCGTTTGCCGCTATATCCCAAAAAAATACTACAAAGTTAGAATTTGTCTTGAAGTATACACCGTAATCACGGCGGCGACAATGTGGTGAAGGGAATTAAAAAAAATGAACCAAGCGTATTTATTATACGCTAGTATTACGATAAAGTATAGACACAAAATATTAATTATGTAGAAACCATCCCTACACTGCGCTGGCCCGATACGACATCTATTTCGTTTGAAAAGGTTCTAAACTAGTACTAATTAATTCTTAAATAATCATTCAGTCATAGTACGATTACTCATTGACGTTAACGTTTGCTTTATTTAGCGGCTATTCGTAGAATAATGTTTTATAAATTCATCGATTACCTATCGATTCTTTCATAACTACCTACCATTTTCATTTACGTAAACATATCAATTGTGGAACGAATCTTCCTGCGTTACTGATTCAATACGTACCTACGTACGTTTTTCAACTTTTCTTTTATTTAAACAAGATTGGTTGCTATCCTTGAAGTTTGAATGTTATAAAACTGTGAAAAAATAATAAGGAACTGTGGAAATAATAAAACAAATGGTCGAATGGTAATGTTGACAGTCCGATGGTAATGTCATTGTCACTTAGTTTATAGAAATGGTGGCAATAAATCGTCAATTGTTTGTCAATGACCGCACCACTGTCTGACGTTCTGTTTTAGTCGACACACGGTCAGTCAATTCAAAGTTTTTTCTTTAGAACTTGCTGTTCGTCATTCATTAAATAAATAGATTTCATAATATTAGTATTTATGTAGATACCTAGTACAAGTAGGTAGGTACTGACGTGATCAGCCTACATGGTGATTCAAAAGTAAATTACCTACATCTTAAGCATTTTAATATACAGAATAGTAGTATCTAATAAATAGCACCGTGATGAACACATTCACCTTCAGAAAATTTAGTTTTCTCATTAGAACAATTTAAGAGTGGAATTTTTTGTGGAGTCTATGTTGCTAAAGGGTGTCATTGATACATTATTCGTTAATTATGTTATACATCTATACTAATATTATGAAGAGGTAAAATTTGTAAGTTTGTATGTAGGGGGCAATCTTTGGAAACGGTGGTCGCATCTCCAAAATTCTTTCATTGATAGATAGCTACTATGTTCCTTAGTGCTATATGCTATGAAACATCACGCTACGATCAAATGGAGCCAAGTAGCGGTTGAAACCGCGCGCGAGTAGCTAGTAGACATATATTTATCGTAGGTTATAAGTTGTATTATAGTATAGTATTGTATATATGTACATATTTATATGGACCTTGCTTCTTCTTATGAGTTCTGCTGGTATGTACTTATCCTATCATTATTTTGTGAATGTTGGTTAACCTATAATTGAGAACTGTGTAAGTCCTAGTATCTACACAAAAGCTGTTGAAACCTTGCCACCTGAAATAAATTACTCCTGCAAATCGTTGAAGATGTCAGAGGGGGTTGTGTCAATCAGGCGAAAAGTAACCTAACGCTGACCTATTTCCAATCAACAAAAAATACAAAGGCCTGTTCAAAGTTTTAGTCTAAAAGTGAGACATTAGGATTATTTTTATGATATCACTACGTCAAAAGAAATATACTCCGAACCGATGTCTAAAAATATCGTTCAAATTGTATCTGTTTATGCAAAAGAAAACTTTATTTTTTTGACGGACACCTTGACAATCAGCAAGCCATTTTGTTATACACTTACATAATTATACTCAATGTCATTTACTTTCAGCTCAGTATGTTGGTCGTGTGGCTGTTGGTTGCGTGTGCGACGGCTGCGCACGCGCTGCGCGTCGGCGTCGGCATCTCTGACGTCACTGGGCCACCCGCCGAAATCGCGTTTGTAAGTAACTTCCCGCTTATACCGACCCTTACTAGATTTATGACTCTTGGCAGTGTCATGACAATATTATTTGATAAAAACAAAACTGAATAAGTTGTAGTAACTAAGCTGTATGATTGCTTGGTGGGTAGAGTTAAAAATAGATGTGTCAAAGTCAAAAGTCAAATAATTTATTTCAAATAGACCACTTTTGAACGTCAAACAAAAAATGAATATCAAAAAGTTTGTGTGTCAGTCCGTCGGTCTGTCCTCTAGTAAAGCTATTTGCTGGTTCCAATGGAGAAGAACGAGTAAGAAACTCCATGGTTTGGTTTGGTAGTGTAGTTTTTTTGTCAATATATGAAAACTGTAGCGTCTTCATAAATTTTAAATTTAGTTTTGGCCAGGTTAATACTGCATTCTGCCTGCGCCATTTTGATACTCAACGGTAACCAATGATCCTGATTTATTCTCTAACTAAATATTACTTAACTTCGGTACCTCGATATCCATTCATTAAGTTTTAAAGTTTACTCCACTTGCTTTAACCGGTTTTCCAGGCTTCGGTTGACAAGCTCAGTCACGATCTTGACCTCACATATTTTTGACAAGGATTATTAATATGAACTTGACTTACTTCGCTGTTTCGTTAATTTTAGAGGTAGGTATCACAGGTCAAGAATGTTTTATGTAACTGTTTCACAGAGGGTAAACCAAGTTAAACAATTCTTGTGATCACATAGCTTTTTTGTTGAGGGAAAATAAAATCATCAGAAGACTTCTCTCGCCCAGGGTATGGTGGGACGGAGTGTAAGAATCTCACTAATTAAAACCATTCCTCATCCACCCCAATCCTTCTTCTGGTCCAGGCCGCGGTCGTACCTTTTTGTTATCGCACAGCTGATGCGGTGACTGGGCAACCTGGCTCTGATGTGATTCACAAATTGTTGTTCCGGGATCGGGTTAGATGTCTATGTGAAATTGTATGTTTATAAACGCACCCACGACACACCTAGGAGAAAAGTCGAGTGGGGAGCAACGTTAAAAAACAAACTTATGTTACTGCTCTGTGAATGTGAACGATTTGGTTATTGTTATTAATTCGAGTTCTCGATATGTAAGGCGGACTGTCAAGATTTCTATTGTAATCTTTTTTTGTGCAAAAAAAAAATTCGGACAGATCTATTCCGTTTTTCCAAAATGGTCAAGCTGGATAGATTTTTTTTTCTATGCATTGCTATTCTGGCATCAGTAGATCAGAAAGTATCAGTACCGACGCTATAGAACGTTAGATCCAAATAAAATCTAATTTTGCTTCATCCACATTCTTAAAATCTAGGTTATTACGAATCAATAGCCTTCGAAGAGTCGGAGAAATCATCACAAAATCAGGTTTATGTTTATTGACTTTTTATAAGATCATTCGATTCGATTGCTTAGCAAGTTGCTTTTAAAGCTGTGAATCATCAGAATTATGAATTCTCATTTATTTAGTGTTGCATTGTATGCTACATTAACAAGTTATTGCAAAAATGTATATGCAATCATGTGTTACAATAACAATAGCAATTAAAGGTTGGTATGAAGCCGTATTGGCGAAGATAGCCTTGTAATAAACAGCTGAACATTGTACTTCTTATATATTAAACTCGATAGAAGTAGATGAAAACAAAGAGACATTGTTGATGTGTTTCGTAAACCAAGCTATGGCTATGGGGGTCGTAGAAAACCAGGTTATTGAATAACAGAAATAGAAAACTGGTTATCTAGCAGTCGCGGTTAATATACGACCACTGAATAGATCGATGATGGATGGATGCAGTGTCATTTGTGTTAGTGAAATATATACAGGAGTAGGTACTTACTATGCTTCATCACGAACGGGATACCCACGGCATCATATTTTACGCTTATGTTGTGTTTAGTGTTGCGAATGTCCATGGGCGGTGCAGATTGCTTGCCACAAAGTATTCAAACTGTTGGTTTGCCGACTTGTACTAGAATACCGTTTTCGTCAATTGTCGTTGCTTTGATCATCAGTATTTTTACATAAGTGACTAACTTTTGTAACTAAGTCACTGTCCTTATTTATTAGTAACTATGAAAGTAGTAAATACCTATTGCATACAGTACTGTAGGCATTGCTAAGGAATTCTTTAGTTTTGATTAGTTTACATTTCTTTCCTTAACCGTTTTACTCAAGAGGAAGTGGGGAACGATTTGCTCATCATGCGGGTTTACTGTTATTTTAACCACGCAATGTAGGTATAGATATAAACCTTGATAAACTACCTATAACTTATATCACTACATAGTATAAAAACAGTCACTTTCTCTGTCCCTATATTCATATGTATGATTTAATCTTTAAAACTACGCAACGGATTTTTATGTAGTTTTTTTAATAGATGGAGTTATTAATGTGAAAGGTTTATATAAGGTTTATATTTAGTATCGACATTGCACCAGTGCGGACTCGGGGCGGTATGCTAGTATCAATGACGATGCTAGTATACTATAACTAGCTACTCTTGCACGGTTTCACTCGCTGCTCAGCTACTATGGATCGTAGCGTGGTGTTTTATTATAGCCTTTAGTACTCCGGAACATTGTAGCTATCTGTCAGTAAAAGAATTTTGGAAACCGACCAGCGGCTCGTAAGATTACCCCCGACATATAAACTGACAAATACAAAATGTTACCTCTTTATAATATTAGTATAGATATATATATATATACTATGTAATGAATATATATACGCCTAATAACACTGGCATTACTAGCACGTACTGCACTGCTCGTTAAGCTAACGTAGCATGTTGCGCCATGTAGAGCGAAGGTTGAGAGCGCAAGCTGCGCAGGCGCATGCAATGAAATGGCGCACGCGCACGTGGTTTTTGACTTTTATGGACGTTGTTAAACGTTGTAGCAGGTAGCTTACAATTTTTGGCTTGTCTCAGTTTTTTTGAGTTGTGAGTATTGTGTGTTGGAAAAAATGAGCTTGGGAAACGGGACTTTTCAGTTTTATAAGGGTTTTAATAAGAATACATCTAAACTGACAAATGAAGAAAAAAAATCGCAACATTAACAAAACCAAGACCAAAGCAACGTCTAAATATTGTGTAACCAATAATATTTTGAAAGCGCAGATAGGCTAAGAACTCACGGAGCGATTTTCGCCCGCGCCCGCTGCGGTTGCGGGCCCGCAGCTTTTGTAGAATTCAAATATTTATATAAAAAATTTAAGCTCATTTCACGACGCGTTTTACGCCCGCGGTATACGCGGTTGTATGCGGCTCCCGCTGTACCGGCGGGCAACTAGTAGAATCGCGCGGGCCGCGGTTACCCGCAGCCTCGGCGGGTGGCACCCGCGCGCTTTGCGATCGGTTGGCGAGCGACCGCGGGGGCCGGCGGGTCTTCTGTGAAGTAAATATAACGCAACGGATCGTTTCTGGTGTGTGTCCATGGCGGTCTGGGCCTCAACTGATCGTTAACCGCCCGTCTTGCGATCATCGCCCGCCACGTTTGCGGGCGATGATCGCAACCGCGGCGGCTGTGTAACCGCGTAAATAACCGGTCTCGTGAAATTGGAAATATAACCGCAGTTCCGCTACCGCGGCGGGCACGGTTTAAAATCGCTCCGTGAGTTCTTAGCCATACTCACTCATAAACACGTATAAAATTCGCCGACGTGGTCCACTTATCTGGGGCAGTGATCTCGAAGCGATTCAAGGTCAGACCAACATGACTCATACCAATGCAGTATGTTTACACACAGAAGCGAGGAGGTACCGGTCTATAAATACTGCTCATCGAATTTTGGAAAGGGACAATTTTGTCTAATACATTTTTTAAGTGAAGAAGCAATGCTTCGGCATGAATGGTTGGCTCCACAGAACAGATTTTTTTATTCCGGTTGGTTCGACCGGATAGATACCATCGCCTTACAGAAAACCGGTGTGAAACAACCACATTGTTGCGTTTTGCCATGGGAGTGAAGTTACCGGAGGCCCAATCCTTGTTCACCAGTCACCTCACCTAATCCCTCTCAAACCCCTATATCTCCGAAACTCTTATTCTTAAAAGGCTGGCAACGCCGAGTGCGTTGACTCCTCTGGTGTTGCCGGTGTCCATAGGCCGCACAGACTGCTTACCATCAAGTAATCCGTCATTTATTCGTACCTTACAGTATTCACGGCGACTTGGCCCATTGTTTTTCTTTCTAAAAGTCATTGTACAGTATTTTATCATCGGGTACTATATTATGTACTATGAATGGTATAATTAGAATACTGACAAGTTAAGTATTAAAAGGTCAGAACCGTTCCCATAATGTAGATTTAGACTTTGTTGAATGCTCTGTACTTATTGTTATCGCTATATTCAAATTCTTCTCAATGGCCATACTTACTCAATAAGCATACTACAATACCAAATAAAAATTATAAAAGCGATTTTGTTGAAGAATGCTATGAAAAGCAAATTAAAAATCCATTCAATTCCCGAACGCCACCAAAACGGGGTGGGGTTAACCAAACTGTGGGAAAATAATAAAATAACCTTTATTGCAACCACATACAGACCAATTTTGTTGTTTTGGTACTTTATGGTTGATTGTACTATCCTAGCCCCATAAACTACACAATAGAACACAGATGCAACGTGCAACGGTTCGGAAAGAACTTTCTGGAACGTCATTTTAAACCGTCTCAAACGGTCCAATCAACGAATTGCATTCGAATTGTTAGGGAATTTGGAGGTCAAGGCGAGAGCGGTGATTGGTCGGCTAATGTTGCGACCCATCGCATAACAGTCATTGTTAACGTTGCGTGTATGAAGTATTAGAATTATTATTTACAAAACATGAGTTGAAGTAACGAGGAGACACGGTTAGTGCGTCCTGGCCTGAAAAAGTTACCGAACTTTCTAGATGACATGTTTAATTGGGTATAAATTGAGTTAGTGACAATTACATATAATGGGATTTTTCACACGACTAGAAATGGTACCGTGTTATGAGAATTTTCAAACAAAGCCAGTTAATATTGGTTCTAGATCTATGAGGTAATCTACCTCATGCTTTGTTCTTAGTACATTTGCCACATTGTCTTAATTTTAGAGCCATTTGAGCAAGTCAAAGTAAAAATATTTTTGCTACACTCGGTGTGCGAAATCATTATCAGGTAAAGAAAAGAACCTCCTTTAATTGTTCTTAAAAGGGACGTCTAGGGACGTTAACTACGCAAAAAAGAACACAATACTGGCTACAGACAGAGACCCTGCCCTTAGAAAAAGACCGTTAGGATTTTAAATGGAAAGGACGGTTACTAGGTCCCAACAGTTTCTTTAGACCTTTGTCTTATCCCTTAAGATATTCTTTGTACAGATAAAATGTACCTCTTTTTCCCCAGAGACTCCTTTGGCCTTCATGAGAATGAATTACTAATTATGATTCCTATATGGCTTACCGCATGAAACGTTAATTGAATGTAATCTCATTTGAGGTTAATTAGAAGGGTTCGATCATATTCTAGGAAACCGTATTCATCACCAATTGCGTAATTGAAGATCATTCATTTGTTTTCTGTACTTTTGACTGTTTTGTTCGTCAAGACGTCGTAAATGTAACTACAGACCATGTTATATGGTCTCGAGTCTTGTTTTTCATCTCTTGTTCTACTAAGGTATGCCTGAGAGGTTTTACTAAGATTCTGGATTTTCGAAGTTCCTAGTAATAGCGCAGATTTTGTATTTAAGCTAGTCGATTACTATTGTCTCGTTCCTGGTAACATAGGAAGCGAAATTTCTCTGAATTTAAAAGAATACTGAAAGAACTTTGATCCTGAACAATATTTTTATAGTAAGCAATCCAGCAATAGTCTACTTTAGGAAGGTCAAGTCCACAATAGACCGGACAGCAATAACACTTATGCTGCGGAAGCAGTGAACCAGACTCTAACTCCCCATTGTGATTGCAATACTAGCAATTTGCCGGATAGGTTTATTGATCAACCAGCTTTTTGTTGAATTTGTTCTACGTTGTAGATTCTAATGGTGTGAAAATGTGTGAGAAATTTACGATGATTTAGGTGAAAGGTTATCTGCATCCATGACAAAAAATTCTTGTTCTGTTCTGCAGTCCCTACTCTTACTTATAGTATTTGTAAACGCAAAAATGATTGATTTACAAACTTTGTGCTGTTCTCTATTTTTTTAAGTGATAGTATGGCAAACGAGCATACGAATTACCTGACGGTAAACAATTCGCTCCGCCTATAGACATCCGCAGCACTAGAGGAGATGTGAGTGGGTTGCCGGCCTTTCGGGGATTAGGGGTTTCGAAGATTTAAGCGCAAAAACGAGGGGATTCATTCATCATTGATGGGATCTCCACATTTATTCAATTAACACGATTGAGTGTTCTTTGATTCAAGCGATAAAAAAGATAATCCGTCTCCTTCGTAAATAGTCTAGAACCATTGAATCTAAGCCTTGTCTAGTAAGGACAGAAACCGTTCTGATTTCCATAGCATAATGTTTCTTCCTTGTTATTATTTATATCAACACTTACTTCAACGATGTTGACATTATCCTGTGTTGTCGTAATAATGAACTTTGCTCCGTCAGTGTATAGTGCTACGTTTGTTTACTCATATTCTGCTTATGTTGTCACTTGTTCTGCAAATATGGGCGCGCAACTTATGTACCTAGTCTTTGTAGCGTTCACTGTCGAAGGCATGTTATTTGAATTCCTGTTTCTATTTCCATTTGTTTTATAGATTAGTTTGATGGTTCATTTTATTTTATTCACCTCTATTGGCAATTAAAGAGATTCGAATTAATTTGCTAAAAATATCTTTGCCCTTTAAAATTTATTGTACTTTATCGTAAATTTATATAGCCAGGTAGAATTGTTTCAATTGGTACTTACCGACTTATCGGTTTAAATGGGGATAGTGTTTATTTATTACTAATTTATCTTTTCTGTTCTATTTTAATTCTCTCATCTACATTGTCTTGAACAAAAGCGTTAACTGAAAACTTATTGCTTTGTCCTTATCCATTCTTTCTTTAGTTGTTTTTATTACTTGATTGAATGGTTTTATAATTCATCCTCATTTTGAACATTATATTTTGAATGCACTAGCTTATCGCCTCAGTACTATTTTATTTTCCAATAAATGGTGGTTTTGTAATAGTATGGTGTAAGTTTCATATTTGTGAATGTGAGAATTTAAAGTAGAAATTTCAACTATATTTCTTTTTATGCTTACATATTTACTTACTACATTAGTGAGAGATTACACATGAACATTATCATTCTTTTCTTCACCTGTTTCGTTTCAGGCGATGCGATCACTTATTCCATAATTTATTCCTTCATTATTATTTTTATTATTCCTTATAGCCTAAATAAAAAGGGTTTTTTTTTCTGTCTTACATCTATAAATTATTTATTTGCTCACATTCCAGATGGGTTATGCGCAATTAGAACAAACGGGTCATGGTATCCATTTGAGGCAGTTTTCCAGAGCTTTCGTTTTCGAGGATGGAAGTGATGAGTCGGCAGAGAGGCTTGTCTTCGTGTCTGTTGACGCGGCTATGATGGGACATGGTGTCAGAAAAGAGGTGAGGTCTATTATATTGCTATTATATCTTTGATTGCGGATGCCGACGGCAACGACGATGGTTTAGCATCAGGTGATTCGTCTGCTAGATAAAAAAATACATTTTATAGAAATAATGAAATCTTGTTAATTTTAAAAAGTTGCTGTTTTCGAAGGTAAATCTATTAAAATTCGCGGTTAAGGCAAAACCTTACAACAAAGAGTATTATTAGTATAAGAAAAACCTAACAACTAAAATTTTACGTTTTACTTAAAGATAATTTAAAAAAAATAATCGATGTAAAATGCTGCACAATACGTCACAATTGGCCCTAAATCTGAAATGTTCCATCATCTATCTTCAGGTCATCAAACGTCTCCAGAAACGCTACGGTGATTTGTACGGGGAGCACAATGTTATAATCAGCGGGACCCACACACACTCCACTCCAGGAGGATTCCTTATGGACTTTCTTTTTGACCTTCCCATCCTTGGCTTCGTCAGGGAGACTTATGCTGCTTACATTGTTGGAATTTATAAGGTAAATCCTTCTTTTTCTTTGACGAGTTGTAAGTACGCCATGGATGACATGTGGATTAGTCCTCAACAGTTATCTTTAAGCAGTTAAAAGACTATGCTTATGAACTTTCTTCCTAATGTGATTACGTAAAAGTGCTATTTTGTATATCATTATCATTTATCACGACATAATCTTTAGTATCGTTTTCTAATAATGAAATTGTTTCGTCTAAGTTGCTTGGTTTATTGTCTAGTGCTTTTCTGTCAGTTCCTTGTTCTCTATCATGAGTCGCCTTTATTATAGTACCTAGTTTACCTTTTGTAAATAATGAAAGTTGCAATAAAATCAGGTTTAGGGCAGACCTGTTTTAATTAAATAATTCCGATTAATTTACTTTCAAGGCTGACATATAATTTAATGCATATAGGAAAAACCTTGTAGGCCTAGTGGTTTTTATTAATCAACCTAACAACAAGTAACATCATGTCCAGTGTGAAAATGTCTACAGATTATTTCATAACATTTCAGAGTATCGTCATAGCTCACAATAAATTAACTGAAGCACGTGTTTTGTATGGGGAAGCTGAACTTTTGGATGCGAATATCAATCGATCTCCTACATCTTACTTGAAAAATCCACCAGAAGAAAGAGCTAGGTAAGAAGCTAATAAATCATTTCGTTCTAAAATAACTACCACTAAGTATTATTTTGTTCGTCTAACTTAAGGCAGAATCGGAGATAGTTACTAACCTAAACTTGTGATATAATATACAACTAGCGCTAACTAGCGGATAAAGTACAAACAAACATTTATACCTACTAAGACTAATGTCAAAGTTAACGCCCCAAATATCTCACTAGATGGCGCTTTACATCGAGAGCCGTTTTCTGAATCGCGGTGTTAAGATTCTCCGGCGTTTAACGACCCTCGCGTCGCGCCGCAGTGAACTCATACTTACCTGGCGTAGGGGATACCGTGATCAAGAAGGCGGTTCCCCCAGGGCGAGGTCCTATCATTGCACTGCGATAGGGTTGACCCCTGCGATTATCCCTAATGTGGATAACTCGGACGCGTAATTTTTGGTAGTGAGGGACTGCGTACGCGCTGTCCCTCTAAGAATTATGAGGAAAATATCATAACCTATATCTGATAAGTATGAGTTATGACGATGACGGTCTGTTTCTCGATCCTAGTGTAGTCACTGTGATAACAGATTAATTTGGGTATGAAACGTAATGTGTATAGACTACCACGTCCGTTTATTGGATACATATAATTATGAAGATGATGACACGGGCCGTAAAGCTTTTAAATGTTTAAATGGAATTATTGTTAGCCACAGGTGTTGTTAGTTACAAATTAAGGAAAAATGACGTTTTTGGAAGGAAAAAAGCAATTTAGTATATATTTCAAACAAAATCGCCTCATCGTATAGAAAGGAAAGCTTTGGATAAAAATAAAATTCTTTAGTAACTCGATGAGGCGACGCGACGCGACGATCATGACAGGAAACAATAATTAGCATTTGTCGACGATGAAGACAGGAAATAAATATATCAATATGTACTTAATATAAATAGATATACGAGAATAAACGCTTTAAAATTCCAGGTACAAATATGACACAGATAAGACCCTGTCTCAAATTCGCTTCGTGTCTCCGGAGAATAAGATCCTGGGCGTGATTAACTGGTTCGCAGTACATCCGACCAGTATGAACAATACCAACAAACTGATATCTTCTGATAATGTGGGATATGCATCGATTTTGATGGAGAAAGCTCTTAATGGGAATACCACGCTGCCAGGCAAGGTAAGGAAGGCTGCATTTCTAGCAGACTATGAAGATAGAAATAATAAACACCCTGATATGGTTGTTTGAAATTAATTTTATGAATTATTTAATATTAGGAATAATGACTAAAATACAAGAATACAAGATCTCGTGCTGAAATGTCCAAATTTTCATTTGCTTTAGAAAAAAAAATGAATTTCCTTTTCTCCGTAACTAGCATAAAAAACCAAACCAGAATAACACTTTTTTTCATTTGACTGAGACGGTCCATATTTAGTTTTTAGTTGGAACATCTTTGAGAATAAGTATGGTTTAATATTATGCACTGCACCACATACACTATTTTCCAGGGCAACATAGTCTGTGCCTTCGCATCCACGAACCTGGGTGACGTATCTCCAAACACGAAAGGACCGCATTGTGAATTCTCAGGCAAGCCCTGTGACCAGGAGAAGTTATTATGCAAGCGGCCCAAGGAAAGGTGCTTCGCGTCAGGTCCTGGAAGAGACATGTTTGATAGCACCAGGATTATTGCTACTAAGCTGTTCCAAACTGCTATGGTGAGTTTAAATTGTTGTGAGTTATGAGAAAAGAAATCGTAGGTAGTGGATATTAAGGCACATGGCGATACAGGTGTCGTGTATGTTAATTTAAATATGATACATATACAATTTCTAATAATAGAAATGTAAGAACTCCTCGTAATATTAAACAGCCAAAGTTCTTAGCAGTGTTTAATTTTAACATCCAATCTACCATTGACGAATACGACACAGAATATTTTCGTAGAGGTTGCAAGAAATAAGAACATTTGTAACTCCATTTTATTAAATTATTTAATCGTCAGTGTCCTTATCCAAAGATTAATACCTAAATTCAATTATTTCAATTCCAGAGTGTTCTAAACGAGCCAGGTGAAGACCTGACAGGTCCTCTAGGGATCAAGCACCAGTACGTGAAGATGCCAGAGCAAGCTGTCGCTCCGTATGACCCAGTCACTGAGACCTTCAACACGGTAGGTGATTTTGTATTATTTGAAGCCGACTATCGACTTTGATCTACTCTAATGTCTTTCTACTAGTTTGTACAGGAAGAAACCTTTAAGGTTCCCTACATAGTTATACTAGTGATTTACATGCTAAAGTATATAAGTGTCTGTTACTCTCTCATGAAAATAATAATGAATGGATTTGAATGAAATTGTGATCTGATTCTAGTCTAAAAGTAGTCTATGTAATATAGACTGCTTTTGTCGTGGAAACGCTGGCAATTCCACTAGCCGGACCTAGTGTGTTAGACTAATAATATTTTGAATCTTGAATATTTTTCTTTCTTAATTTATAAAAATCCCAATTTTAAAATTGACACCTACATCTTCAGAGTACGACGGTGTACGGTTGTCTCCCAGCGATGGGCTATAGTTTCGCAGCGGGCACCACGGACGGACCGGGAGCCTTCGACTTTAAGCAAGGCACCACCACCTCCAACCCTCTGTGGAATGCCGTCAGAGACTTCATAGCAGAACCTACTAAGGAAGACATTAAGTGTCAAGCGCCGAAACCGATTCTGTTGGCAACTGGAAGGGTAAGAATATCAGAACAAATAACTATAATATAAGTCTAGGTTTCCTTACGACGTTTTCCTTCACCGTCAATGATGCCCTAAGATTAATTAATAAGTCTGAAATGTTACATTGCTACTAGTCAGGTTTCGAAACCCGTTAACGAGAAGCCCTTGAAAAAAGTTATGATTGCGGTACAAAGAACTGTATTGTCCTCAACATTTGATTTAACCTCAACGAATCGGCAATCTCAAGAAATAAACACATATTTATATGGCTTTTCTTAACTTTTCCCTTTCAGGCCAAATTTCCCTACGAATGGCAGCCAAAGGTAGTATCATGTTCTGTCGCGAGGATAGGTGGTCTCCTATTAGCTGCAGTACCAGGCGAGTTCACCACCATGTCAGGTCGGAGACTTAGGAACGTCATCGCCAAGACTGCACCAGAAGCAAAGAAAGTCGTCATCGCTGGTCTCTCCAATATTTACTCAGATTATATTGCTACGCCTGAGGAATATCAGGTAGGGAAAACTGATGATGATGGTTACTTTCATACTTACTTCGTTGGTTTAGCCAACCAAAGCTGATCTTGGCCAGTGCTACGAACGAAATATTTACGATATTATGATATTTGTAACGATATTATGTTTTGTAACCCACCGGCCTCCGGTAACCTCACTCACACGGCGAAACACAACGCTGTGGTTTTCTGTGAGGCCGTGGTATAACTCCGGTCGAGCCGACCCATTCGTGCCGAAGCATGGCTCTCCCACACTTAAAATGTTGTAATGCCTAATGTTGTAAATGATTTCACTAAATGGACATAAATAATTTCATCAACCCGACTGCTGATGAATATGCTTGGTCCAACAGACAAAATCATTTAAAAATTATATTTTCTTTTTCTTTATTTCAGGCGCAAAGGTACGAAGCTGCGTCTACAATCTACGGGCCACATACACTGGATATATATTTGAACAAATACGTCGAGCTGACTGAAGCTCTGATCTCGGTAAGTTGGAAATATAAATTGCTTTCCAGATAGACAGATATAATAATAGAAGACAATAAATAGTGTTGAGCACAAGGAATATTGTATAGAGCAAAGTCGCACATAAAGACATTGGTAGAAAAATGTAGTTGCAAGTCAACTACAGTCAGAAGCGACCGCTATAGTTAATTATCCCAAAAATCTTAAGCACCTCGAAAATTCTGTTTAAAAATTTTCTGATCTCTGTCTAACATTAGATAGTCGAATAGTGGTAAATAAATACTTGGTGGGATGCAACACAAAGATATTTTGAGTACGATTGGTAATTAAACTTTTTATTTTTGTTGCAATTGTAATTTAGCTGATTGACTATCCCTAGGCCATTTCGTTAGTCCTATTTCATTGGAATTATTCGTAGACGTGATCAAACCGCATATGTATGTATCAGTACCTTTTTTAAATATTATTTCAGAGTAAAACAATTCCACAAGGACCCGAGCCTCCAGATCTAAGCACTCAGCTAATATCCCTAGTTCCGCCTGTGTTATGGGACTCTGCACCTTGGGGTCACGAGTTCGGTGACTGCCTGAAGCAGCCCTTCAAACAGTACAGCTATGGAGATGTTGTTATGGCGCAATTTGTAAGTGTACCAACATCTGATACATCCATTCATTTCCATCATTAGAAAATCATTGTTTCATTGTTTCATTGTTTCATAGATCCCCACGCCAAAAACCACATATTGCGTCTTGTAATCAATGGGCTAATTATGGCCAAATATCTTTCGCGATACTAAACTTTGTCATCATAATCATCTTGGCAGGATTATTTAGCACGAAAGCAATTACGATTTATTTTTATTTGGGGTAGTCGTTGTAGTTGTTATTTTAAATATTATCAGACTTAATTTCGCCTTGTATCCATTTACCGATTATTCTAACAATGATGTCTGTTGTATGTCGAAAAGTTTCTATCATAGAGTTCTGTTTGTAGGTATCAGGTCATCCCCGCAACAGTATCCGCCACGGGCGCTGGTACGCCACCATAGAGCGACTTGAGTCTGAGGAAGATGACGCCTGGACTACAGTCTTCACTGATGCTGACTGGGAAACCAAGTAAGTATACAGTTATTTTAAGCACGCACGAAGAAAAACAAGTCTTTTTAAGAAATTATTGAAATGTGTGGACTGTATTGATAAATTGCTATAAGTAGAGATTTACTGCTTAAAACATTTTTGCTAGCTATTATGTCCAGAATTTCGGTGTTTTGGAATAAACCTAAATTAACGAACAGGGCTATAAACGATTTGTTTGGCACACGGTGACTTTCTATCTGACGATGGTAAGCGCCAAAAAACTCTTGCAACACTAGAGATACAAGTGTGTTGTTGGCTTTTAAAAAGTAGGAGAATTAGGAGATTGGAAACAAAGCTAATCTGAAGATGGGGAAGAAGCGCCACTCTTCCATTCACATGTTACAAGTAGGTTATGCTAAAGCAATAAACTATTTCCTCATACTTATGACTACCATTTTCTAAATTTTAGGTACACCTGGATCCGAGACTCCAAAGTGATGGGAACGAGTCGCGCAGAAATCGAATGGGAGATCCCAGTGGGAACTCCTAAAGGAATCTATAGAATTCATCATTTTGGAAACTACAAATATGTCTTGGGTGGCATTTACCCTTACCATGGATTTACGGACAGTTTCGAAGTGTCTTAGGCCTTTGATTGACAGTATCAGCTGTTTTACGGTGCTAATGCAATGAATCTAAAGTGTTAGAGGCGGAAAGAGTCATTTACAAATGAAGTTGTCACAGTAATACATTTTAAGGTTGGTGTTTGTGTATTTCAATAACAGACGTTTTATAAACTAACTGTGATTGAGGAATTCCCAAGGACTTTACTTGGGACCAGTTTTATATCCTATAATATTTTTTGAAGTTTGGATTGTAAATAATGCTAAGTTATTTAGTGATTTTTGGGACCAATTTGTTAATTATTAACATGACAGTGTTAATTATATTTTAAATTTCATATCTATGTTATAAGTAGGTATTATTTTGTTAGTATGCCAAAATTGTATCAATAAGTATCTACGAATTATACGCTACATCTTTCCATTGGATAATGCAAAAATTCTTTGTAATTTACTTTAAAGTTTATTTTATTTATAAACGCCATTTCATAGCGTTTACTTGCGCGGGCGCGTTGCGTTTCTCTTAGTCTTAAGAAGACATATAAAGCCAGTTGTATGATGAAATTAGTATTAGTTAGGTAACTAATATTGTTGTAAGTATATAGATTTTTATTTCATTAAAATTTTCATAATTGATCGTGCGCCCCTTTGTATTTTGTATTTTTTTCTGTAAGTATATTGTTTTCATTCTATCTAAATAGCATCTTGTTTAGGCTCCGATAAGTTTTTGATAAGGTGACTATCGAAAAATCTACTCCTACGGTCAGATAAATTTATCAGAAAGTTATCGGAGTTTTGAAACTATATTCATATATTCCTTAAAAAATTGTATCAAAGCCAATTAACATAACAAACCAAAGTGAAATTTTTAGTTTAAATACTTTCTGTAGATAGACCTTTCTATAGCTTAAAAAAATAGTCTAGTCGCCAATCCTATGTGATTATATACTTTTCACGTTTTTTTATATAATTATATATTTCTTTATATATTTGTATCTATGTAAAGGTTTATCTTGTATAAACTGGACTTATACTAAGATAATGTAATCAGACTAATAAATATACCTACAAAAAAATATTATTACACTTCAGTGCAGAAAAATGTCGACAGTTATTTTTCAACGTGAAAATGTATTTTCTTTAAGTACATTTTACTCCTTGTTTTGGTCGACCATTGGACCATTAACTCGAGCTTAGCATTCGAGAGTCAAAATTCAAAGAGGTCTTATAGAGCCTGTTGTGCCAACAATTTAATTTTCGTCTTGTCCAAGTACATCTTAAGACCCATATACCAATTTTGAATTTGCCAATGCACTTTGAGTAAAAGTAGTGATTAATGCTCGGTGTGATTAGAGGCCTTTGCTCAGCAATGGGCACTAATGATGATGATGATGATGATCAGACTTCAAAAATTTACTATTTGAAGGTACTATGTAGCTCCAGACACAGATTAATTACACTTTGTAATAATAAAAACATTAAACAGAGTTTTAAATGTCATCCGTCTGTTAAATGCCCTAAATTACAGAAACGAGAGATTCTCGTAAACACTACATAGTATAAAGCTAAGTCGCTTTCTCTGTCCATATAGTTATAGATATGCTTCATCATCATCAGCCTGTTGTCGTCCACTGCTGGACATAGGCCTCCTCAATTGCACGCCACTGAGCTCGATGTTCAGCTCTTCTCATCCAAGATATGCTTAAATCTTTAAAACTATGCGACGGATTTTGATGCAAATTTTTTAATAGATAGAGTGATTGAAGAGGATGTTTTATACGTACAATAAACATCCATTAAATAGTGAAGTAATTTTACTATTACCATTGCTTCTGTTCGAAACCGGGACGGATCGCTAGTTACTTATAAAGAAAAGTCAATATTACTTGTCTACAGTACGGCCACCGTTTCTTGGCGAGTCTGAAGTTAGCCGTTTGTCTGTGCAATGGATCTTTTAGGAACAAAATTGTGTACGGCGCAGCTAATCGGCTAACTTCGGACTCGCCAAGATACGTTGGCGGTATTGTACCAACAACCACATTGAAGAGAATCAATGTTATCTTTGTCAATTAAAGGTACTCGTACCTATGAAATTGCCGTTCTGCAGTACAGGCCATTTCAAACAAAAATAGTTTTTGTTAGGCTAAGGCTAATTAATTTTGTTTTAAAAACATGGGATTCTTTTTTCAAAAGTAGTCATTTGTTTATTGTTATATTTTCATCGCAATTCAAATCAAAAAATTCGTTTAATTTTTTTCATGCAAAACGGCAATTTCATAGGTGGACATACTTATCTGAATTTAGTTTGTCCAGTATTTTCTTTAATAGATAAAGGTGTTAAGGGCAATAACTATCATGTAGATACTATTGTTACGTGCCTGACGTCACGTTCCTGACTATGCGGGCTTGGGTTACGGGATTGGATGAAATGAAACACTAATACCAGATTTCAGACTTTCTATTGCACTTAAGTTACAGCGTCCACGGAGTTAAGTTATCGGCGTTCCTCTCCAGCAGAGTCCGGCCGACTGACACAACTTTGCCGTTCACGCTGACTTAACTCACTTAACTGACTGCACTTCACTATTTCACTGCACTTCACTATTTCACTCACTTTTCTTCTTTTTCACTTCCTCCTTTTCTTCCGAATCGCTTTAGACTTAGAACTCAACTGCCGGCGGTGAGCCGCAGTTCCGCTTATATACCCCCGGTTCAGGTTCTGGAACATTCAATTTCGTTATTCTTTTTGATCGTCATGACTCCAGAACCTTCCAATAATTTCGTTACTCATTTTTATTTATTCTCCTTCTCGCTCTTTAATTTTTTATTTCTTTCACACAAATAGTTCCAGAAAGTTCCACAAAACTTCTATCAACTAAAAAACTACATGTTTACGGCGGGACTCGAACTCGGGGTCTCTGTGGTGTAATCCACACGCCTTACCGATTACACCAACTCGTGTTGACAATTCACGACGAAATTTACAATCTCTAGGCAACGTTTGACAACCATCCATTGACGTCATGATGTCAAAGAGTTTGAACCACTTTTCCGTCACACTGCCCCCCTCTTAGATTCGCTCGTCCCGAGCATCGTTGCTGCCGTAATACCTCGCCAACCTGTCTATATGGACAACTTTCAAAGGGCTCCTTGAAGTCTTCCGAATTCTGTAAGTAATGTCATTGATCTTCGTGACTATCTCATAAGGACCTTCCCAACTCGGTTGCAGCTTCGGAGATTTTCCCTTCCTTCTGACTGGATTATGAAGCCAGACCAATGACCCCTCTTCAAACCCAACAGAATTGGCTCGTCGATCATAGCGCGTCTTTGCGCGATCACTAGCTTGAAAACCGGCCTCCCTGATCTGCTCATAAATGTCCAAAATTTTTGCCCTTAACTCGCTTATGTAATCGCTAAACTCGGTGCGAGAGTCGCCAGGTGGACAGCCCGATACAAGATCTGCCGGTAATCTCAATTCCCTTCCAAAATTTGCAAATGCAGGCGTCTTTGCGGTACTTTCATGTACAGCAGTCCGATAGGCAAGCAAGAAGAGAGGTATGTAAGTGTCCCAATCTCTCTGATGGCTGTCAACCACCTTTGCTAAGTGTCGCTCCAATGTTTGGTTGAAGCGTTCGACCATTCCATCTGACTGTGGATGATAAGGGGTCGTTCGAGTCTTATGGATTCCCAAAAGTTTACAAGTTTCCTGAAAAACTTGGGATTCAAAGTTCCGTCCTTGATCACTGTGCATCTCCAAGGGTACTCCAAATCGGGTGAATACTTCGTTTACCAACTTCGTCGCTACAGTTACTGCCTCTTGATTCGGTATGGCAAAGACCTCCGGCCATTTTGTAAAATAATCCATAACCACTAAAACGTAGCGATTGCCCGAATCAGTGATTGGAAATGGTCCAGCGATGTCTAAGGCTATTCTCTCCCAAGGCATACCAACATTGTAGATTTTCATCGCCCCCCTGCTCCTTGTTTGTGGACCCTTGACAGCTGCACAACTAGTGCATTTCCGGCACCAATCTTCAACGTCATATTTGCAATGCAACCAATAAAACCTCTCCTTGATCTTCACCAAAGTCCTCCTAATTCCCAAATGTCCTCCAGAAGATCCATCATGGAACGCTTTTAATACATCCCTTATTTTTGAACGAGGCACCACCAATTGCAAATGCTCGTCTTTGCCGTTTGTTGATTCCCATTTCCTGCACAGAAGTCCGTTATGCAGCGTAAGGCTTTTCCACTGTGCCCATAAACCTTTCGTTACCGCGCTATATTGGGCGACGTCACTCCAACTTGGCTTGTTACCACTTCGTAGCCACTCCAGTATTGGTTAAATATCTGCATCTCTTTCCTGTTCTAATTTCATCGCATCATTTCCCCATGCCTCGTCAACAGTATCAGTCCTTATCACCTTAAGAAAAGCAGTTTCCTTCTTAGCACAATGTTTGCAATCTTCCACGCATGGGCGTCTCGATAATGCATCTGCGTTGCCATGAATTCTTCCGCCGCGATGTTCGATTTCAAAGTCAAATTCCTGAAGTTGTTCCAGCCATCTGGCTACTTGGCCTTCGGGATCCTTAAACTGAAGCAGCCATTTCAAAGCAGCGTGATCAGTTCTGATCAAAAATTTCCGTCCCAGTAAATACTTCTTGAAATGGTGCAGGGTTTTGACTACAGCCAGCAATTCCCTCCTGGTCACGCAATAATTCCTCTCTGGCTTGGATAGTGACTTGCTGAAGTAAGCAATAACCTTCTCCTGCTCACCATCGCGTTGTGAAAGGACACCTCCTATTCCAATATTGCTGGCATCCGTATCAACTACGAATATTCCTTTCGCGCTGGGATATCCGAGAATTGGTGTGTTACAAAGCCGTTCTTTTAGTTCTCAAAAGGCTTGCTCACAATCCTCGTCCCAAACAAAGGCACGTTTCTCCTCTGTCAATCGATGCAATGGCTTGGCAATGTCCGAGAATCCTTTCACAAACCGCCGATAATACGAGCACAATCCAAGAAATGCCCGAACTTGCGTTTTGTCTTTAGGTGTTGGCCATTCCTTGACAGCGACAGTCTTGGCTGGATCAGTCTCAATTCCTCTCTCAGAGATAACATGTCCTAGATAATTCACTTCGCGCTTGAAGAAAGAGCATTTCTTTGGACTCAACTTCAAATTTGCTCCACGCAGCTTGTCGAGTACCTTTTCCAATTTCCTTAGATGATCGTCAAAATCCCGTCCAACAATGATGATGTCATCGAGGTAAACTAGGCAGGTTTCGCCCAGCAGACCCGCCAGCACCTGTTCCATCAAACGCTCAAAGGTTGCCGGTGCATTGCATAATCCAAATGGCATCACCTTAAATTGCCAGAGTCCCTTCCCAGTTGAGAATGCGGTCTTTTCCTTGTCCTTGGGATCCAAATCCACCTGCCAATAGCCGCTTTTCAGATCGAGCGTTGAAAACCATTTCATGCCACTCAGTGTGTCAAGTGTGTCATCGATTCTCGGTAACGGGTAGCTATCCTTCTTGGTTACATCATTCAATCGTCGATAGTCTACGCAAAACCTCGTTGAACCATCTTTCTTCTTGACAAGCACGACAG